TTTTATTTGAGGAAACCTCCAGATGGATAGGACTGGAGAAGGAATGGTAAATCTATCCAAAAAATGCATCTTGGTGAAAAAGATTTTGAAGTTTTTGTGTATCTTATTCACTTATTTGGGGGTCTAAAACATCGATATTTGGTAGTTCTTTTGACAAAATATATCCTAAATTGTTTTATTTTATTTTATATAGGTAAAACTCAAGCGTTGACCAAGGAATAGAACGAAAAAAGTGAAAATTGGTAAAAAAAAAAAAAGAGGCAAAATTCAAAGTTTGAAAACCAAATTGCAAATTCAATAGTTGATTTGGACTACAAAATGATACTTTGAAAATTTTTAGGAGACAATTATATGAAATTAGAACTCAAAAAGGAATGAAATATGATTGAAATCAATTTCCAATCACACAAGTTATATTTCAAATTTTTAGTCGAAAATTGAAATCCATTTTTGGGATAGCAAACTTCAGAATTGGAAAAAATTCTATTTCTATCAAAGTTGTATTCTTTTGAGTTAAATTTCCAATGAACTTTGAATTGCTTCAATCGGATATCAGGAGATAAAATTATGGTCAAAATACTGACTGCTATGTAGAGAGAAAAAAAATCGCGCGAAGATAACTTTCGTTATTCGATTGGAACTCTTTTGAAAGTTAATTTGGACGTGATTTTCAACCAATTTTCGACTCCTACAAATACTTAATAGCAGAACACATGTGGGGAATCTTTCATATACATCTCATACTCCAATATTCATCAATTATTATCATCAAAGTAGGACAATTCATTATTTTTGTGAGAGAATTGAAGAAGATTTGTAAGAATTCAATCAAGTGAAAATTCAAACTTGATTTTTGAGCAAAGAAGAGAAGGTGCAAGTGGAGATTCATCAAGAAACCATTGAAAAGATTCAAAATTTCAAGATTTACCTTCATCTTCTCAATTAATCAAAAATTCGAGTTACATCTTTTCACTTAAATATGATTTCTTGTAATTTTGATATGTTAGGCTAATTTTATACATTGTTAGGATGAGATGAACCTTTGTTATGATATTTTTAGTTTTTAATTAATTATTTTGACTTTAATTTGATTTGATTCGTGGATATTTATTATCGTTTTTATCGTTCTTTTCAATTGTTTGATCACCAATTGAATTGTTAGTAAATTTTATTGTTATCGAAAGAGACAATGGGGTTTAAGCACATAATACTAAACATTGAAATGTTCGATAGAGGATAAAGATATATCTCTATATTTTTTATGGTTTCAATAGGTGTTTTAGTACTTGTTAATGCATTTATCATGTTTACATCTTTTATCGAAAGATAGAAGGGTCACATGAAAGGAATAGATTTGATCGCTATCGAGAGAGGTTTTCAATTAAATTAAGAGCGTTAACCAACATAAATGATTTCAAATTGTCACTTTAATTGTTACACTAAAAACAGAACAATAAGAGGGATTCTACATCTTAGCAATGCATCTCACATATTTGAATAAAAATACATTTACTTACTCTTATTAGTTTAATTGATAATTTAGGGATTAGTATAAAAAAAATCATAAAATTTATTTGTTATTCGATTAAAGCTGGAATTAATTTTAACTCAATCAAACACGTAATTCTCACGAGTTCGACACTCTATTCACAACTTTATTACTTGTTCACGATCTCGTTCACTTGCGGGAAATCAAACGACCAACTTTCTTGTGGAGTTTTGATCGATCTGTCGTCTTTATTTGGCTGTCTGCCCCACAAAACAAATTTATGAACTCTTGTTAGCATAACAAATAAAGGACGTCAGGTGATGTGACTTGTAGTAAAGTGTGTTCACGTATGCCTTATTTGACATGGAAAGCCTTGGGAAAGTGTCGAAGATTAAGTAAAACCTCCACTGAAAATGAGACTTGTTTACACCAAGTGTGGTGACTTTGATCAAAAGTAATGGTCATATACAACTTGAAGATGATGGTAATAAGTTGGTGTTAGTCTTTCAGTGGTTATATTCAACCACCATCAGTAAATAAATGCTAGTTGTTGAATTCTTGGTGGCATAAATTTATAATGTCACGTGTCCCATTACCATATTAATATATAGAGGTTATTTGAGGTTCCTTATAGTTGACTTTTCATATAGGGATTGGTTATTTCCACCTAAATTAAATTCAGTCTCATCTTCTTGATCATTGTGGATTGTTAACAGCGGCGGACCCAACATCTGGCGAGGGGGCGCGGCAGCCCGTGCTGGGCTCCGGCGAAACAGTGGAGATAGAACCGTAGAAGGAAGAAGATGACGGGCGACCGATGAGGTTTGCCCGTTTCTATTTTTTCTTTTTTCTTTTTAGTTGGACCTTCTTGTTTGGACTTATTCATAGCCTATGGGCCTTCTTTTTAATTGACTAGGCTCAATCGGCCAATCCAATCCATTTATGATATGTACCAAGACCGTTTGAAGGCATAGATGAAAGGAAAACCTTACGGCTCGTTTCAAAGTTCTTCAAACCCTCATCCACGTTCCAACTTCCATCGGATGACGCCTCCACCTCCTGTTGGCTGCTGTAGCTTGCCATGTTGGACGACTCGAGTCTCAAACCTCTCTTGTTGCAGCATGTCGTGCTGGGTTCCTTGCCTCCATCGGAACTGTTGGAACTCGGACTGAACTACTCAGACCCGCAAGCAGTGAGTCGTTCTCTTCTTTTTTTTCTTCAATTTTGGTGATTGGTGTTATTTTTTATTTATGAGTTATGAGTGATCCCTGAGGTTAATAAACGATAATTGATAAGTGAATTGAGAGATTTGGTGTTCATCTCTTGCTAGTTGCTACTGAACTTTCTTGATTTGTTTTGATTTGGAAGCATCATATTCATATCGACCTGCATAACTTATAACATATGAATTATTGATTTCTGTTCTCTGAGTTAATAGGCAATTTGGCTTTGAACGAGAATTGTAAATCTGTGAATATGTGATTCGGGATAAATAATTTATGTTGCATGAGTCATTGAGTTATGAGTTGTAATTTATCATTTATGAGTTTTGATTTGTGATTTGGGCATTTTTGTAATTTTAGGATAAGTTAAAAAAAAATCAATTAAGAAGATATATTGGATTATATTTTCATATGTATATAATTTTTACATTTCAGTGCATTTATATATATACTGAATAATTTTTAATATTATTTAATTAAATATTAATAAACGACTTTGCTATTACGATAGTTGATTGTCAACGGTCAATAGTCAATGATCAACCGTCGGTCCGCCCTAGTTGAAATTAGGTCCTGGATTCGCATTGTTAACTCCATAAATTTTTTATTTCAAATATCAAAAGTGGACACCAACATTTCTTAATTAATGGTGGCAGTTCGTTTCTTGCTACCTAACCCTGAAATTGACTACTAATCATAGTGGGTTACTAGTGAGGTTTGGCAACAATACATTGCAAATCCCCTTTCTTTTGACTAATTCATTACTTTGGAGAACCTGAATAAGACGAATTTGGAAATGGCGAGGCACTGAAAACAAATAGATGGTAACACTTGATGTGTTTGACACATTGAATTGATCCGAAAGTAAAGGAAAAAAGGTTGGTGTGCATTGAACAAATGACAATCCATATCCTAATTTGAACAAAAATTACAACTTGAAATGTGTTCTAAAATTTTAATTCGATTTTAATCTCTACCGAACACGTACTCATAGTTTGAAAATTCAAAAATCAGGTTTTTTTTTAATGCTAATATAATATAATATAATAAACTCACCCCACATGCACCACCCCTACCGCTCCGGAGTCTATTCCGGCGATCATTCCGGCGACTGCTCCGATTTCGGCGACCATCCGATGACTATTCCGACAATCATTCCGGTCACAGATTTACAATTTACGGTCACGGTTCAAAAATTTTATAGGTCACAATTAATTCGTTGGTCACATATTTCAAAATTAGTTGGTCACAGATCAAAATTTATAGGTCACGCAGATCAAAATTTATAGGTCACACAGTCACAGATTTCCAAATTAATTGGTCACAGATTTTTTTACGATCACAGATAATAAAATGGTTAATTTCATTGGTCACATATTTTCAAATTTGTTGGTCACAGATTATTTTTCAGTCACATATTGTCAACTTTTTAGGTCACGGTTAAATACTTGGTTACATACCACTGGCACTACTTCAGCCGCCACCACCACCACCACACAAAACATCGCCACCACCCATAGCCACCTAACCGAGCACCACCACCACCCCAACCGCCGATCCACCACCACCACCTCCAACAATAACAATACAACACCACGAACATAACATCACCACTATCAGCACCACCATCAAACTAGATCTGAACTTACCAAGCCACCACACACTCCACGACTGGTCAAAAACCACACACCCACGCCGCCAATACCACAACACTGCATCGCACTCACAGCACACACACACCCACCACCACCACATTTGCAGTTAAACACCACATCCACTCTGCGGCTGCCATTCACAGTACACACATCCACAGCACACACACGTACCCACTGGCTGCACACACCCACTTAACGGTAGCCGGCAGCAACGAAAGGCACACCCCCGCAAACGACACCCACTAAAGGGCACATACCGCCACGTGCACAGCACCTCCACCATACCTCTACACCACTATTGCCTACCAAAATCCACCCCTTCTCCCAAAAGTACCGCACCACAGCCACCACCCCACCAACAAGTCATCAAGTCCGCCACCACCATTTACACTTTCAATACACCACAAGATCAACCCCCAACTCCAGCCACCACAAAATCAGAAAAAGAGGGAGACGAGAAAATTTTAAATTCCCTAAAATATCATAGATCTCACAGGTGGAAAGCTAGAGAAAGTGAAACAAAACACGGTGGTCACCTGGGAGATTGAGCGCCATATTACTGGCATTCACAACAGTGTCGTCGGTTGTCCGAGTTCAACGAAATAATGTGGATGGTTGTCGGTTGAGCCAAGGATGTGTGGGCTGAGTCAGGAGGAGACGTTTGATACTGCTGTTGTGTGTAATGGCCACGACTCACAGCCCAAGACTCGTCGTTCGCCATTCGTCGAGTTCACAGTAGCGATCTATTCGTCGAAGGGTGGAATTAGCTCAGCATCACCCGATGCCAGCAGTGTCGGTCAGCGCATCCCTTCTTCCTCGATTTCTGGAGTTCGAATGGACCGCCGACGTCGAAGAAAGGTCGAAGAGAGAGAGTGGAGAGGAGAGAAATAAGAGATGTCAAGAGGAGGGAGAGAAATTATATTAGGGCTTGGGTGGGTACCTAAATTTTGATTAAAAAAACTTCTCACCTGATTTTTGCACTGTATTTTCAAATACCTGGAATTATGTAATTTCCTCAAAAAATTAGGAGAAATTAGGCCCGCTGCCCTAAAAAATTTACGTCTTTGATTAATACCCTTCAAACTAAATAAAATTATAATTACCATATTAATTACGTGCCAAACCTCAAAATACAACAAAACCAAAATTCCGAGAAACATTTGTTCCTGATTTCGAATTCGACTCCAGTATTCTTACAGGGAGAAAACCTCACCCACTACGTGAAAGAGCCACTTGAACCAACAAAGATGAAGACTATGAGACTGCGTCTGAGGCAAGGGGTTTAGACCGAGCACTTGAAGCTTGCTAATGGGTACTATGAGATCGAGGCTATACGCAGAAAGCGAATTTGAAAGGTCAATCATTTCTTGTTTCTATCTTTTCTCATAAAATCGAAATATTCATGCTCTTTGACCTCTATTGGAGGCACAATAGAAGTATTATTGTTATTTTTTACTGATAGATTAAGATGAAATTGAAATGCAATGTGGATATATTTTTCATTGTTTTGAACCCAAGGACGGATGGAGGGGGGTACAGCCCGGCCCAGCCCCCACCCACTGATTTTTTTTAGTTAGAAATAAAAATTATGTAAAAAAAAAAATCATGTGTAATGTTTTTTACGTATTAGCCCGGCCTGTAATTCGGTCCTGAATCCATCCCTGTTTGAACTTGATTATGGATTTTAGAATGTGACACACACCCACACACACACATATATATATATATATATATGTATGTATGTATGTATATATATGTATGTATGTATGTATGTATGTGTATTCTTTGCAGTTTTTATCCATTTTTTTTATTTATTCGTTGTATGATTTGAATTTCAGACAACTGGTGTGTGAAGGCCATAAGGAGAAAGATTGCTGGTACTGGACGCATGAGGTACCTCTGCCACGTTCTCCACAAATTCAAGACCAACTTAAGAGAAGGTAAGTTTTTTGATTTTTGTAGTTCATTCTTGTTCTCTTTTGGAATGAATTTGAAAAATTGATGGTTGGTTTAGGCTCTCAAGCTGCACCCAGGAAGAAGGGAGCAGCTGCTTCAGCTTGAGATTCTGTCCAGATTCACTTTTGGAGAGCAATGTTTAATAGAACTTTTTAGTGCTATTTTTAAGCATTAAGATAACAATTAAATTTCATAGAACAACATTTAAAGCTTATGTGAATTTTGAATTCTTAATTGATGTTAATTTTGTTTCGATGCTTGAGTTTGCTTTTTAATATGGATAGACAAGAGGCCATCATTAGTTTGAATGCTCAAAATAATTTTGTCATTTTTAGAGTGTTTGTCACTTTTTAAAGTATTTGATACTTTTTTATTGTTTGTCACCTTTTTTGAGATTTTATCACTTTTTGGAGCGTAACAAGTCAAATATGAAATCTTTTTCAATGGGGATGTAGATCTACAGTTTGATATTGACGTATCTTAATGGTTCATTGACATAGGAGAATCAAGAAGTTTGATCCTACAAAGAAATCTGTCAATTTTCTGAATTTTTTATCACTACCAACTTATTGGTAGTAATGTTCCTAAAAATGAAGTTTTGTTCTTTTTTTAGTTGATAGATGTGAAGCATAATCACAAATAGACAACATGCAAAAGGAAATCAACCATCCCTTGGATTTCTTTTAAGGTTTTGATTGAGTTAAATATTATTTCACTTTTTGGGAAAATTGCCACTTTTCGTACTGTGTCACTTTGTTTGAATTTTTGTCACTTTTTATTTTTGTCACCTTGTTGAACTGATTTCAAGATTTTGATTGATGTTTTGTCACTTTTTTAATTTCTATCACTTTATTGAATTATTTCCAATGTTTGATTGATATTTTGTCACTTTTTTGAGTTTTTATCACTTTTTTAATTTCGTTTTATTTAATTGATTTCAAGGTTTTGATTGGTGTTTTATCACTTCTTTTGTATTGTTACCTTTGTTAGTTTTTGTCACTTTTTAAATTTCCGTCACTTTATTGAACTGATTCTAAGGTTTTGATTAGTGTTTTGCCACCTTTTTGAATGTTTGTCACATTTTGTATCACTTTTTTTTGTTAATTTTTTGAGTGACAAACATCACTTTTTAATAAAAGTAATATTGTATCATTTTTTTAATTATAAAAATGTGACACTTAACTTTAAAAAGTGACGTTTAATTTTATACAGTATTTCTTACTTTCAAAACATATTTCATATGATGTTTCAAAAGGCCCCTAATTTTAGGAGTATTTTTGTAAGTTGCCCAAAAAATTACTCCCTCCTTTTCAATTATATAGGTTGAGTTTCATTTTTTCTCTTGTCCCAAATATATAGACATGTTTCCTAATATAGAATATTTTGTTGTGTTCCTTCACCGATATACCCTTATTAAATTTTCATTAATATGCGAATTTCTTGAAATCATCCAAATACACACATTTCCCACTTCTTGGAAATATGGAACAACTCTCATTTCTTCTTCTTCTTCAAATTCTTTATTACTTTCAACAATAATTTAGTTTTACATATTGAAAATTAAATAATGGTAAATTAGGAAAGATTTTGACAGAAATTAATTTTTCAACGGCATTAAAGAAACTTTCTTAATCCGTGTGAAAAATAAACTAAGCATATATAATTGGGGTGAAGGGAGTATCTAATTTGATGAATACCCCGATAACTAATTAAAACATTTAATAACCTAATAAATACGTTGTAACTTATAAAACTCTCCAACACCCCCCAAAACTCCTGAACACACGCACACAGAGAAATATATTGGCATGGCTACAATTTAGAGAGAGAATTAAAATGGACATTAAACAATGCAAATGGTGAAAATGTAAGCTTTTATTTAGCAAATATATATTGTTTTCACATGTTGTTTCAAATGTTGATGATTTCGGCTGGTTTTGATTTGAATTCATTTGTATTTGTTGGAAGATTTATGCATGATATGGTTTGATTAAATGGAAGTTACGGCTCCAATTTATGATGTTGGAGCTCTTTCTTCATGTGAATGCATTAGAAAACTTTCTTTGGATTGTAAAATGAGTTGTTTATAATTTCTATAATTTCCAATTTTCTTTCTTCCCTCACCCTTGCTTAAATTTTCTTGATTTGAGACTTGTAGATCAGTAGGCTTCATAGTTTATTTGACGTGGATGGCGATGGAAGAATCAGCAAATATGACATCCTCTCTTGTTTAAAAAGACATCAATTGCTTATAGCACTTTTTTTCACCCTGGTTATGGCACAAAGGTCTGCCCGTAGCTGATCATAGATAGGTTAGTAGAGGAGGTGTTGTAGTGGATGGATAATGGGTAATGCTCTAAAGTTTTTGTTTTATTTATTTATTTTTTTTTTTTTTTGAATGATTGTGGGGTGTATATCTAAGACATTTGAAATATATCGTGGTACAGTCATTGAAATTTCGAGATGATCTTCTTTCAAGTTTTGTATCCTACCAGATAAAAGAGTGTTGATTTTATTGACATATTATAATTTTATTGACATTGTATAAGTGACACTTAACTTTGAAAAAATGACATTGCATAATTTTTTAAATAAAAAAGTGACATTGGACATTTATTTTACACAGTATTTCTAAGTTTTGTTTTATTATTTTCTGTCATGTAATTTCTCTAATTTTTTGAGTAACATCATTTTTTAATAAAAGTGACACTTAACTTAAAAAAGTGACATCGTGTCACTTTAGACTTAATTTTACATAGTATTTTTTTACTTTCAAAATGCTTTTCATATGGTTTTTCAAAAGACCTCTAATTTTAGAGGTATTTTTGTTAGTTTCCCTGCTAATGTTTCAATTTGTATATGTAAAATCCAAAAGTGGAAATTATATCAATCCAAAAAATTGCTTTTATCCTTATCTTAAAAAAATGAAGAAAAGAAAAAAGAAATTGAAAAGGTTAATGGCAACATTCATCTGAACGTTGCTAAAACTATTAATGGCAACGTGCAATGAACGCGCGTTGCTAAAACTATTAATAACAACGTGCAATGAACGTTGCTAAAAGTTTAATGGCAACGTTCATATGAACGTTGCTAAAACTATTAATGGCAACGTGCAATGAACGCGCGTTGCTAAAACTATTAATAACAACGTGCAATGAACGTTGCTAAAAGGTTAATGGCAACGTTCATATGAACGTTGCTAAAACTATTAATGGCAATGTGCAATGAACGCGCGTTGCTAAAACTATTAATAACAACGTGCAATGAACGTTGCTAAAAGGTTAATGGCAACGTTCATATGAACGTTGCTAAAACTATTAATGGCAATGTGCAATGAACGCGCGTTGCTAAAACTATTAATAACAACGTGCAATGAACGTTGCTAAAAGGTTAATGGCAACGTTCATATGAACGTTGCTAAAACTATTAATGGCAATGTGCAATGCACGCGCGTTGCTAAAACTATTAATAACAACGTGCAATGAACGTTGCTAAAATGTTAATGGCAACGTTCATATGAACGTTGCTAAAACTATTAATGGCAATGTGCAATGAACGCGCGTTGCTAAAACTATTAATAACAACGTGCAATGAACGTTGCTAAAAGGTTAATGGCAACGTTCATATGAACGTTGCTAAAACTATTAATGGCAATGTGCAATGAACGCGCGTTGCTAAAACTATTAATAACAACGTGCAATGAACGTTGCTAAAAGGTTAATGGCAACGTTCATATGAACGTTGCTAAAACTATTAATGGCAATGTGCAATGAACGCGCGTTGCTAAAACTATTAATAACAACGTGCACTGAACGTTGCTAAAAGGTTAATGGCAACGTTTAAATGAACGTTGCTAAAACAGCTAATGGCAACGTGCAATGCACGTTGCTAAAACTAATCTACGGCAACGCGCATTGCACGTTGCAAAAGGACCTCAAATGTTGCAAAAATGGTATATTAGCAACATTCATTAAAAAAAGGTTGCCAAAACTCAATTTTGTCAACCAATAGCAACATACACTTGCTGAATGTTGCCATAGACCCCTTTTAGCAACATGCAATTGACTAATGTTGCCTTTTGAATGTTGCAAAAGGCCTTTTTTCTTATAGTGTATGCACCCGACATTTCAACTTCACAATTCAAAAATGAGATTTACAAGTTTTTTATTATTTAAAAATCAGATAATAATTCAAATTTTTAATATTAGTAAATACATTATAAAATTAAAATAATACACATCTACCCACCCAACCCAATCCAACCATCCTCTCGAAACCCTAATAATCATCTTCATATTTCTTATCTCTCTATCCCATACTTCTCTCTTCTCTATCTCTATCCCAACCAATGGAAAATGTCGTTGGGATCACTACAGAGACGGAGCGATTTGTTGGAGAGATGAATTTGATCAGGATCTGTATGCTACTATGCGGTGTTCATCGCAACAATTTTCGTTGTTATGTGATGAGAACCATGGGACAAAGGCTAGCAAGGATTCGTTGGTTGTGCAAGAAGGATCAATGACGAGGTCGCAAGCAAAGAAGATCAAAGAATCCATAGGATTACTTGGTCAAGTTGCATGGACCGAGTGTTCGAATGCAACCAGCAAAACATCAAGTTTTACATTGGACATGGAAGAAAAACTAAGATGGGTGCAATTGATTCAAGTAAAGAATCCATACAACCATGTGGCCGCATGGTGCAATTAAGCTTGCGTCCGCATCCAACACTCAATGCCAACCTGATAAGAAAAGAAGTCCCCCATGTGGCCGCACCTAAGTGTGCTATACGGTTACATAGTTCATTTTCTAGATGCGTTTTTTCAGATTTTTCCTAGAAGTCTATTTTTGGTAAAACTCTTGTTATGGTATCTTGTTGATATTTTTTTATATAATTCCATTTTAATAAGATTTTTATGGGTTCCCTATAAATATAGCTCATCTTTTCATTGTGTTAGACAATTATTAAGATATTATTGTGAGGCATATGACTTTCAATTTGTTCTTCATCCAACTAAACTCGAACTTATCAATTATTGATTTCTTGTGGCATTCAACAATTCAAGTGAGGTTTATAGGTTTTGTAATCACGCGGTAAAGATATT